TGTGTGTGTGTGTGTGTGTGTGTGTGTGTGTGTGTGTGTGTGTGTGTTCATTTTGTGGGGAGAGGTTGCAAGAGTAAAGGGTGGATATGAGGGACAAAGAGATGAGTGGGACCGGGGTACATGATGTGAAACTCACAACGTATCAATGAAAAGTTACTTTAAAAGTACAGTAGTTTTCCAGGAACTAAACAAATGCTACAAATAATTTTCAGGCAGTTAAAAGAGTTAATTGAAGCACTGTTTCTTACTTATTACTCTAGCTTCTCTTTCTAAGTTAATAGTAAATTTCAACTTAAACATTCTTATGTATTTGTTACACCATATACAATTCTATTCAGATTGAGGATTTTATTATTATTACATATGCCCTAGTCTACTGGCTTTGAATTGCTCTTTTTAAAAAGATTTTCTTTCTGATAATCTCCTATTTTGTGAATATTTATAGAAAAAAAGTTCTATTCTTCCTGATAATCAAAGCAAAGCCCTGTTAACAAGTACACCATCTTCAGACACAGCTGATTTTGTGGTAGGTATTAGCCCTTGGCTCTTGAGGTATCTGTTTTCTGACATCTCTTCCCATTCCTCTGTTTATGTGGTAGCTGGGATTCTGGGTGTATCCCACCATGCCCTTCAATAGTCCTCTTTCTATGACTAATGTAATTCAGGAATATTGTGCCTTCAAGTTTAGATATGTGATATCATGTGTCAGAAATTACTTCCAACAGCTGAAGAGATGGTTCAGTAGCTGAGACCACTGACTGTTCTTCCACAGGACTGGGGGCTGATTCCCAACACTCACATGGTGGCTCACAGCCCTCTATAACTCCCAGTACAGAAAATCCAACACCTTCTTCTGGCCTAAACAGGTATTACATACACATGATACACAGATACTTGTAGCCAAAACAGCCATACACATAAAATAAACTGATTTAAAAAAAAAAAAAAAAACATAATATGAGATGGCTCAGTAGGTAAAGGTACTTTCCTGCAACCTGAATTCTATCCACAGGACTCACATCGTGAAAGGTGAAAATCAACTCCTGAAAGATGTTCTCTGATTTTCATTTAAGTGTAAAGGCATGTGCACACCAGTACACACACACACACACACACACACACACACACACACACACACACAACTACTTACATTTTAGAAATGGAAACATTCTGTTATAAGATCACATTTTATTTATATGTCTGCCAGTCAGTCAGTGGATATTTTGCTTATTTCTCCTTCATTTGTTATGAGCACTGGTGGTAAAGCTATGCATATGTACAAGCATAAGCTCCCTATTCTCAGTTCCTCTGAGCGTATATCCAGAAGTAGACTTTCTAGATGGTAGGGGCACTTTTAAGTTTTTTAGAAAGTCTTCTCCATAGGGCTTTCAACATTTTACAACCTTACTAGTAATGCGCAAGGTTTTAATCCTTGTACATCCTTGCCAGTATTTGTGACTTTGTATTCTGTCTGGCATTAGTGAGAAAATTATTTACACATTGATTCATTCACAGTTAAATATGTTTTGAAGAATTGTTTCCAAATATAATTAATTATATTTATTCAAGTAAAATTGTGCATCAAATACATAAAAATGCATCAATAAGATAGTATTTTCTACATTAGTTTAATTACCTAAAGCTAGCAGTTGTTGAAACTTTAAAAAGAGTTATATTGTTGTATAGGTTGATTTGTCTCCAGTGCAAAATGTATCTTTTGAAGAACTATTTCCAAATGTCAGCAATTATGTTAACTCAAGTGAAATTCTTCCTGTGTTAAGTTGGCAAGAAAGTTCTTCCAATGAGGTAACATTTTCAAATTTTTTTTCAGCTGCTGACAAAAATTAGTATTATGATGTTTCTTGAGACTAACATCTTTTATGTGTGTAAAGAAGAATATATTGTTAGATATAAGACCTGCAAATCTTTTCTACACTTTCATGAGTTGTCTTTTTACTCTGTACATGGAATCTTTTGAAGCACAGCATTTGAAATTTTTCATGGTTTAAGTTGTCTAATTTTTCTCTTGTAACCATATCTTTGGTGCGATGTAAAAAGTCATGACCAAATTAAATAATATGAAGCTGCTGCCTGTGTTTTCTTTAAAGAGCTATAGATCTCAGAGTTAGGTGTAAAGTCTAGCGTGACTTAATTGTGTGAGCATCTAACTTCACTTTTACATGTAGGTACTCAGTTTTAACAGTGCCGTTTTCTAATTTAATTATCTGAGAAGTGTATTGTATACAAAGGAAAGTTAAGTATAATAATTCTAGATTATAATTATTTTGTTGTGTTTTACTTTTTGCAACTAGAACTTATTATGAGTTCAGGGTAGACTCAATTTCACAGCCTTAATATCAAACTCTTGCAATTTCCCAAATGCTTAGATTACAGGCATGTGCCATCATGCCCAAACAAGGCAAAAACATGTTATTTCCAGAACTCAGTGGATGTTTTATTGTTTTTCACAAGTTTCTTTGCATGCGTGTGCACACACACAAAGTAGTATAATTCACAATGGGACAGGGTAGGTTGACTTATTGACTTAAATAGGAAGGAAGTGACTGAATTGAGAAGTTAAATAACACTTGTTAGAAATCTCTGTTGGAACTTCTAGGTGCTTCTATGATTGCTTTTATTTATTATTTGGATGTTATGTGTGATATGTGCACATGGATTCTCATGCAATGGGCACAAGTATGTGTGAGAGTATGTGCAGCTCTGAGGCTGACTTCAAGAGCCTTCTTCAGCTGCTTCTCAGTTTATGTATTGAGGCATGGTCTCTTTCGGAACCTGGAGCTCCCAGTTTGGGTGAGTGCGTCTAGCCAGCTTGCTCTAGGGAGTTTTCTGTTTCTGCCTTCCTGGTGCTAGGATGGCATTAGGCCACCATACTTGCCTGAGATTTACATGGGTGCCAAGGCTCCAAATTCTGGTCCTCGCACTTGTTTTTAGCCTCGGCTTGTCTTTATTGGCTTTTCCCCCTTAGGCTCCTGTTACAAACGGGCATTCACCATCTTGTATGGTTTATCACAGCCCACGTAAAAGGGCTTCTTCTGTTTGTTTGTTTGTTTTCAGCTTTTTCGAGACAGGGTTTCTCTGTGTAGCCTTGGCTGTCCTGGACTTGCTTTGTAGACCAGGCTGACCTTGAACTCAGAAAGATCCTCCTGCCTCTGCCTCTGCCTCTTTCTCTCTCTCTCCAAGCGCTGGGATTATAGGCAAGCGCTGCTGCACCTGGCTTGAAAGGCTTGTATTTAGTATTGTCTAAAGACTCCAGCTAGCTTTGTCTGAGTCACATGTCTGCCCTGGTCCATGTGTCATTGCCAGGGAAATGGCAAACTGTAATTGTCTAAGCCTGGTTTTCCTGCCATTTCTGTGGTCATAGAACAAGATTTGCAACCAAAACTTGCTGAGCTAATGAAACAAGTTGCCATTTTCCATTACAATTATTTCACAGTATTTGGTTTTGAACAGAGAAACTGAGGTCATCCCAATTTTCATTCCTTTCCAGATAACTTATTTTTCCACCCTGTCATTTGTAATCAGAAACTTTCTTAATCCCAGCACTTGGGAAGAAGAAGTAGAGGATGTCAAGAGAAGACTGGACTATGTAGGGAAATCCTGATTCAGAATCCTCTTTTTGAGAACATGTTGGAGTGTGATGTTGTTTATTTTAAAAGTAGGGTGGAAAACTTTAGGAATATATAATTGAGTCAGTTATCCTTATCTTACAAAATTCTTTTTAAGCTCAAATATTTTGTGTTACATTTTCGATTATTGCTTAATTTATTCTTTGATAATATAATTTTTTGACAGTTTGGATGGATTTTTTTTTATTGTCTTATCTTCGCTCTCATTGTTTATAGACCTTGATTTTTTTTCCACTATATTTTTGGAGCACTCCTTATTATTTCCCTCAAAAAACTGAAAATAAAAACCATTTTGTATGCTCAATCCCCATTCAGAAAGGCAAACAGGATGGACATTGGAAGAGGGAGAAAACAGGGAACAGGACAAGAGTCTACCACAGAGGGCCTCTGAAAGGCTCTACCATCAGGGTATCGAGGCAGATGCGAGACTCATAGCCAAACTTTGGGCAGAGTGCAGGGAATCTTATGAAAGAAGGGGGAGATAGAAAGACCTGGAGGGGACAGGAGCTCCACAAGGAGAGAAACAGAACCAAAACGTCTGGGCCCAGGGGTCTTTTCTGAGACTGATACTCCAGCCAAGGACCATGCATGGAGATAACCTAGAACCCCTGCACAGAGGAAGCCCATGGCAGTTCAGTGTCCAAGTAGGTTTCATAGTATTGGGGACAGGGACTGTCTCTGACAAGAACTGATTGGTTTGCTCTTTGATCACCTCCCCCTGAGGGGGGAGTAGCCTTACCAGGCCACAGAGGAAGAAAGTGCAGCCAGTCCTGATGAGACCTGATAGACTAGGATCAGAGGGAAGGGAAGGAGGACCTCCCTTATCAGTAGACTGGGGGAGGGGCACAAGTGGGAGGGAGGGGAGGATTGTGAGGGGAGGAGGGAAGGAGCTACAGGGGGGATATAAAGTGAATAAACTGTAATTTATAAAAACTTAAAAAAAAACATCTTGTAGCAGGTTCTGACTGCAGCTGTATACACTGATATGGTCTGGCACTTGTTCTAGAAAAGCACCAGATCCTAGGAAAGGTTTCATCTGTAGAACAGTTTTTGGTCCCAGCAAAGAACAGTGCAACCATTCGTCTGTCAGTGTGAATGTTGATCCTATCAGGTTAAGTAGATGGTTTAAATATTGTCCTTCTCTGTGTTCATCCTAGACACAGATGCTGAATAAAGTAGAACATGAGTAACTTTTCTTCAGGGATTGTTTATTGAAGATGGTAAAGGTTTAGGTCTCATAAGTATTTATATCAATGGAGGGTCCCCCCTGTTCAGAGCATATAGAAACTGTGGGTGATCGTCTTCCAGTGTGTTTTTCTTTCTTGGGTATTAGCTTGTTGAGCTGGCTGTGACAGATACTACAAAGTAAGTGGTTTCTTTGTAGAAACGAGAACATGTTTTGCCACAGTTCTGAAGTCAGGATGTTACCAGGGCACAGGTCCCACAAACCCACCGGAGGCAGATCTTTCTTCTGTCATGTTCCGTGCTGACACTTTGTGACTAGGGCAGTCCAGTCTGTGCCAGCTCTCATAGAGCTGTCTTCCCTCTCTTTGTGTCTCTATGCCTTCACAAACATTTTCCTGTGTGTCAGTGTCCAGGTTTCCTGTTATTATAGGACACAGGCTACATTAGACTAAGTAAGGGCCACATTTCCAAATAAAGTTACCTACACAGTTGCTGGTCTTTCTGAGAAGGGTGCTTCTGCCCATGATATTTGAGGTGTTTGTTTATTTGTTTATTTGTTTGTTTGTTGAGACAGGGTTTTTTTTGTGTAGCCTTGGCTGTCCTAGACTTGCTTTGTAGACCAGGCTGGCTTCAAACTCACAGAGATGCACCTGCCCCTGTCTCCCTGAGTGCTGGGATTACCACTGCACCTGGCTCTGCCCATGATATTTGTCTCCTTGTTTTCATGTTTATCATTTGTACCACTCTTTAGACCTGATGACCCATCAAATTTAACTCATTAAAATAGTTTCTGCTAGAGTTTTCTGACTTGTGCTTTCTATGCCTAGGCACAGTTGTCAGTCATCCTGAAATTTGCCTTAACCACATTCTGGAGATCATTTCATAAATATACACATACCTCTCTCTCATAATTTTCTTTAGGATTTCTTCAATATTACTTTTCAGATTTCTAGCTTCCTATATTTTGAGGAACCTTGTTTTTTGTTTCTTTATTTCTGTTTCAGAAGCTGGAAAAAAAATCTTGCCTTTAGAGCCTGTGTTGTGAAATTTCTTGTGATGCCTCATTCTTTTTCCATGTACTATGCCAGAATGTCATAGATTTTATTTGTATGTGGATGCATGTGTATGTATGGATCTGTGTATAGATGGGGGGATGCCATGGCCCACATGTAAAGGTCAGAGGACAGCCTTAGGTGTGTCTTTGCCTTCCACCTTGTTTGAGAATCCCCTAAAATTATTTGTACCTAGAGATAGGAGAATCTCTAGAAGCTCACGGACTAGTTATCCTCTCATCGATAGCATTAAACAAGAAGCTATCCTCCTTTCTCCCTCCCTATTCTGTTCTCCTTTCCACAAGAACCTGTGCACACACATACAAACTTTCTCTGTGTGCTACTGGCTTATATATGCAGTCATAGTTAATATTGTAGATGTGGAAAAGTAATAGAATAACATCAATTGTAAATAGTGCTTGTCAACTGTGAAATCATTGTTATATGGTATGACTGACCTTTCAGGCTAACAACATTAGATCTCTGGACAGCTAAGAGCAGAATCTTAGTCTCTTCTCTAGAGGACAAAGGCTCCTTAGGCTGAGGATTTCAGCATCTACTGACTTGTGTTCATTTCATTCCACTATTTTCAACACAAAATCTCTACCCTGAATGGTCAGAAATCTTCCAAGGAGGAAATGATCTGCTAGCCTCTTTCCTTAAGAAAATTAAAATTCTCTGTCCTGTGTTTGAGATAGGAGGAGGCTGTTAAAAAAAGTAACAAAGCAGATGGGGTATAAAAGTAGCATTTATACAAAAGAGAATGCACATGGTTTAAAATAAGGAAATCAACACTTTTGTTTCCTCATTTGGATACAAAAGTATCTTCTTTGAGAGAATTATATTGCTGGGTGTAATGGCTTACACCTGTAATCTCAGCCCTCGGGGAGGCAGAGGCAGGCATATCTGTGTGAGTTTGAGGCCAGCCTGGTCTACAAAGGGAGTCTAGGACAGCCAAGGCTACACAGAGAAACCCTGTCAAAAAAACAAAAACACAACCTCCCTCCAAAGTGTTTCAAATCATGATTTAATCCATCCTTTCAAAAAGTACCCGTTTTCCTGATGTTTGTTTCATTCTATGATGGTTTGAGTGAAAATGGCTTCCATAGGCTCATATGGCTTCTATAGGCACAAATGTTTGAATACAGGTCCTTCCTGTTTGGGAAGAATTAGGAGGTGTGTAGTTTTGTTGGAGATGTGTTGCTGGAAACAGGCTTTGAAGTTTCTAAAGTCACATGTCATGCCCATTGCTCTGTCTGCCTCCTACTTGTGGTTTGAGATGTACGTCCTCAGCTGCTCCTGTTGCCATGGCTTCTCTCCGCCATTATGGACTCTAACTGATCTGGAAACAAGTCATTCTTTTATAAGTTGCTCTGTTCATTGTGTTTTATTACAATAGGAAAATAACTTAGAAAATTAATTCATCATTCTTTTTATTTTTCAAAACTAACATCACTACTAAACCATTCCTTGGACATGGTGCATATTCTTGATTATTTGTGAGTTTCTTATTGTTTTCCAATATGGTTCTATCATTTTACCCAAGAATACTTGAGACTATTTGTTTTGTTTTGTTTTTTTAATTAGACAGCATTAAATGTAGTACCCTGAGGAATGATACAATAACTACTTTTTTCTTTTTCAGTTTCCTTCAAACACATCAGAGATCTGTTGTATTATTAGGGCATCACCAGGAACTAGACGGATGAAAAATAAAGATGCTGCTGTGAAAAAGAGATGTTCTCTTCCTAAAGATGTTCCTCTAGGTATGAACTCAGCATAGTTTTCTCATTATATGAACTGTAGTGTTTTTTTTTTTTGCGATAAATGCTTTGTGTACACAGGAAATTCATTTATAACTTATATTCTCAAGTGTGTGTGTGTATGTGTGTGTATATTCTTTTTAAAGCAGACGTTTTTACTTGATTCACCTGGCAGCTGGTTGAGTACTTCCATGTGCGGCACTGTGCTAAGAATCTTAACACCTCAGTTTCTCACTGTTATTACTGTAGATAGAGTGGGTACTGTTGTTCCACTTTCTTAAACTTATAGAGTAGGAGATTTTAACTGGTAGGTATTACCAAGTAAACTCAACCATTCAAGGCTTCTAACATCAAAATAAGCATTTTTTTTCTAATTCCTTGGTGTCACTGAGGAACCTCTCATGAGTGAGTGGCCAGTGGAACAACTGAAATTTGATGTAATATATTATTATATTTTATATATAGTGTAATATATTATATAATACATATATATATATATATATATATATATATATATATATCCATTCCAAATGTTCACTCTTAACTTTTGTCCTCATTTTTTCCACAGTGTCTGCTTTTAGCATGCTTTAAATTCGTGGAAATTTCTCTTTTTAACTAACTGCCAGATTACCTAAGTCAGTATTACTCATTTTATACCTAATTATATTACTGAGGATTGCCCAGAGTAACAGAACAAGTGTCAGTATATATCTGTCTCTCCGTACATACACACAAACACTCCCACACTGTTTAGTACTTCTGGGAAAGGTTCTTTTTAGAGTGTGGAGAAGGAGAGATAAAGAACCTTTCCCAATGTCTCTTGTGCTCAAATTTATAAGTATGTGATAGATAGATAGATAGATAGATAGATAGATAGATAGATAGATAGATAAGTGTGTTTTATATGAGAATTGACTTAATATAGGAATTGGTCAAATGATAATGGAAGCTTCAAAGTTCAATGGCATGCCGTCCACCTGCTGGAGGACCAGAGATGTCAGTAGCATAGCTAAGTCAAAATCCAAAGTTGCAATTCTCAGCGAGAAGAGCAGTGAGCAGTAACCGTGAGTACTCAGAGCTACTGTGTCTTGAAATTCTCCTCCTGAACAAATGAGTCTATTACTTTTTGATTCAATCTCACTCAAGTTCTCAAGACATAAACAAATACAGACAGATTTTTTTTTTTTGTCAGAATGTAATGCAAATGGCCTGTAACCTAGTTCCAAATAGAGCTGGTTCCCTTCTGAACCTTTATGAACTGGATCGTTGGTTTCTGCATTTCTTTCCACACTCTGGAGTCTTCTAAGCTCCCACTAGAATGGCCAATTAATGTCTGTTTGCATATTTTAGGTCTTCTTTAACCCACAACTCCAAATCATTCCTCCTACAAAACAGTCTTACATGCCTAAAAACTACACAGCCACATTTATCAGAGCAGTGACCTCACATTTGGTACCAACTTTTTTGTATTAGTTACTTTTCATATTTGAACAATACCTGAAAAGAAGCAACTTAAAGATAAGGAGTTTATTTTGGCTAGTGGCTTAAGAAGAAATACAGTCAGTCTTGGCAGAGAAAGCATGGTAGCAAGAGCACGAGCCAACTAGTGTGTAATGTTAGGTAGCAGAAAGTGGCTGGGGTGCAAGCCTGCCCTGTACAACCTCAAGGCTTGCCTCTACTAACCCAGTTCCATTTCCTATAGGCTCTACAACTTTCCAAACTAAACACCAGCTAGGGACCGAACATTCAATTACAGGAGCCCTTGAGGGACACTTTATATCCAAACCGTGACACTAACGCTGTGACACCACTATTACTCTGTAAAGCAGCCCATACATTCACGTGCCTCAGCTTTGGCAGAAGTGTTGTGTATAAGAAAGGCATATCCACAGCCATAGTGTTTACTTGTAAGGACAAAACACTGTCTTTTGCATGATAAAAGTTGCTTAGAGTGACCAGTCTGCTGTCACATTGCTGACTGAACACTTGAAGATGTGCCAGCAAGGTCTGTACTGATGAGCCTGTGCTTCCTGCTACCTCAGCACTTTATACTTCTTTCCTCTCTCTCCAACCTCGTTCTGACAGAGATTGCTAGTGAACTACAAGAAAATTAGCTATCCTATTCATTATTAAGATCCCTCCTCTGCTGAAGTCACCATTTGGTGCATATTTGTATGTCATACAAATGTTTTCACGTTTTTTGCCCGTGCAAAGAGCTCTGTACAATGCCTCTTCTCAAGTGCCCTTTTCCTCTGTTTTTCAATCTCATTTTTTCCAAACCTCAACCATTTATCCAAAGCATTGGTTACTACCTGTGAATTGGTATGCATCCAACAACATCTGATCATTCCTCCTCCCAGCAAAGCAAACAGCCAGGTACTCTACTCAAAGTCCTGCCCCTGGGGAAGAAGATTTCTCTTCACTATTTTTTTTCCTGAGATGTATCAGAGGGACTGATAGTACAGGCCTGATAGTCTTCTGCAGCTACCTGTAGAGCACTCCTCATGACCTCTTAAATGTATATTGTAGGAGAGAAGATAAGGCAGTTAAAGTAAGGCTGAAGTACTTGGATCAGTTCTTTGTGTGACCTACTGTGCCTTTAGTGCATGCTTGAGTGCAATCTTATATGTATCGGTTTCATTTGGCAATGAAGACCTGATCTTCACTTTGTGGCTTGCTAAGGCATATAAAATACTCAGTACCATAGTAGCCCAGTATTAAGATCCACTCACAGGATAAATGCTGTTTTTCAGTGTTTAAGTATATATCTACCAATGATAGTTGAACTTGACTTTGAAATCCTAGGGGCCATACTGTTCAACTCTGAGGCCCTGCCAAAAGATCCAGACAGCATCCCTAGCTATCAGGGACACTTAAGGCACCACTGAATCTCCTGGACAATGCAGTGCATCTGTGGTGGGGCCGTCTCTCTTGATGGGTCTTTTGTTAAATCTAGTAAATCTTTTAGGTCACTTGGTAAATGGGGTAGAATAGCACACACAAATAAGATACATGTTGACAGCAAAATCCATAATGTCTCATGAAGGAGGAGTATGCCTTTTCTGGTTTTATGAGGGCCAAGATACAACACCTATGCCTTACTTTAGGAGTTATCCCTCACAGTACAGGACCCCTAGGAGTCTGCACATAGAAAACCCCTAGCAACCCAATAGTTCTAGTTCTAGAGATATGCTCAGCAATGATGTCTATGTGTGTTCATCAAAAGATATAGACTAGAGCTCAGGTATAAACTAGATATAGACTAGCGGCTCAGATGTAGCACTCAGGAAGCAGAGGCAAGTAAGTGGATCTCTGTGAGCTTGAGGCCAGTCTGCTCCATGTAGTAAGTTTCAGGTCAGCTAGGGCAACATGACTTGTTTTTTAAAAATGATACATATAATGTTCATTGGCCATGATAATTCCAAATCAGAATTTAGCCAGATGCACATCAATTAAAATAGGTAAGTAAACTGTAGTATATTCATGCAGTGCTACACAATAATAATAAAACAGTATATGTTATGTTGGATCATATTAATACACTTCGAATAAGAGGGTTTGTATTTGGAAAGAAGTGAGCAAAAAGTAACAAGCTGGGTGTGACTTTGTCGAAGTCTCTATGAAGAGATTTGGGAAAATGAAGACCTGCGATAGCATATCTCAAAGTATGTACTCAGACCACCTGGGTATCTATAAATACTAATGTTCAGGTTGCCCCTGAAGGCTGAATCAGGAATTCTGAGAACCAAGCTAAACAGTTGATAGGACTTAGTAAATAATCAGTTGCTTGTGTGGGGTAGTAAGAAAAGATTATGTCCAGAGCTTTAGTAACTTCAAGTTCCAGAAGTGAGGCATGGCATTTCATGACTGGGAAAATAAAGATCAAAGGTAGTTAGGCTGTAGTCTCCATTCTGGATCTCCTGGTGTAAGTTCTGAGGGGAAAACCATGACAGTGTCGTATTTGGGAAGAAAGTGGATTTTACTGATGCAGGGAATAGGGGGATGTAAAGCAGGGGCAAATGAGAGAATGTGAGGTGCTACCTAGGCAGTGACTGAGGGAGACAAGGACAAAAAAAGCACAGGGACAGCGTTCCTCCGGGCTACAAGGAGGGGCTCAGAAAGCCTGCAGAGGCCACCATTATCAGACCTTCCTCTAGAGTGTTACTAAGCAGGTCTCTTGGTATCTCAAGAAAGAACTTCCCAGCATTTTCAAGAAGGGGTGAGTGTTATTCAGGCAGGAAAAGCTCTCACCCTCGCAAATTGGTTATTAGTAACTAATGGACACTTGCTTCTGTACAAAATAATGTGTTATATTTTCTCCAGATATTATAATGAAGACAGATGCCAGAACATAACAGCTGTGGCTGAAGATATGAATGTGAAATACATAGAAGCATAATGTCTGCCTGAAATTATATAAAATTTAAAATTCTCTTATTGTTTGTGATAAAATATGTGGAAATTCTGCTGAAGTTCCTGTCATTTGCTTTGATCAGTTATGAGAAGAAGCATTCTCCCATATGCTTCTTAAATGCATGTATTTGTGCTTTAATATATGAACCAGTCGGGTGTTATTAGAAGACCATGCACTAAAAGAGGAGGTTTTCTGCTCGTAACAAGTTCTTGTTAGGATACTGTAAAACTTTGTTTCTGTCTCCAGATCTGTTCTTTGTATGGATCAAAAGTAGTAAAGTTGTTGAAGTGCTAAAAATGAAAATGATTATATTACAAGCTATTTTTAACAGAACTTAATTGAAACCACATGAGTGAGAGACCTAATTCCAGGTCTGACTAAAAGAAACCCTACACTCAAGAACTGCTGAAGCAGGGTAGATGATGTGTACAGTCAGCCATGCACTAAGTATTTAATAGATCACCTCGTCTCCAAACTAGCTCCGACACTCTCCGTGAGACTATGAGTATGCTTGTTTTAGTGTTTTCATAGTGTAACTTGTGGCATCTGCACAGTGCCTGTCCTAAGAAAACAGAAGACTGTTGTCAGTGAACAGAGTACAGTTGTATAACTTAGTGAGATTTTAACCCTGATATTGCGACCAAGGCCACATATAAAAGCAAGAAACAAAAATTTGAAACTGTTCCAGTAGCAAAGACAAAAACAAAAACAAAAAATTCATAAAATCTATTTAATCTGAAGCTAAATGACCATATAATATTTATTTTTAAATAGAAGTCCTGTGAAAACATTCTTATAAATGTTTTTTAAAAGGTCGAAGCCACCAAGAAAGCTTTCTTTCTCAAACTTTATTGGAATATGAAAACACAGAAGAGAATGTTTATGATGGAGGATACAATGAATTCACACCTGTTTTCCAGATCAGTTCAACTAAGTCAGCAACTCTTGTGACAGTTTCAAAAGCAGAAATATGATAAGTAGTAGGGGAAGGAGGACGGAGGCAAGGTCTGTTTCCTGCCTTCACAGAGCTTAATCCAAGGAAAAGAGTAAATGACTCAATACTTTCCAATCAGATGGTATGTTCCTGTGAGAAACAGTGATCCCTGACTTGTGGATTGGGAGTGGCAAGATTAGAGGACACACATATTGGACTGTTCTTTACTGTTAACAAGGAAAATATAGCTATCTCTAGAGGCTAGTCCCTCACCAGGTTATATGGTTTAGAAGTGGTGGATGCTGGGACTAGGAGGCAGTATAGCATGAGCCCAGGATTTCCCATTTTCTGGAGAAGCACCGGGAAAGGTGAGAGGGAGGAGCACATTGGAACCGACATTCAAGGCTTTAGAGTGGAGGACCTATGCTTAAGAGGAGGGAGACAGAGAGGCTTGTGGCTGGCAGTCAGAAGAAGTCCAAAGAGGATTCTTGTTTTTACATCCTAGGAGAAGAGCAGACTCTCAGACCTGTGGGCATGTCTTCGTCTTTTATTAACCCTCCCTGAAAGAGTATGAAAAAGGAGTTCATTTCTTTCTGTCAAGAGAGAGTCTCCACCATTTTCATCATGTTTCCCAATGTTTTAATGACTAGCCAAGTGCAGTAGCATACCTGTAATCCCGGCTACTGAGGAGGTTGAGGTATAAGGACTGAGAGTTCCGGACTAGTTGAAGCAATTTAATTTTGTCTCAAAAGAAAAATCTGTAAAGGGCTGATGATAGATGTAGCTCAGTGGCAGAGTTCTTGTCCCACATTGTATCCCCAGCACTGAAAGGACCTGAACCATTTTGCCTTATCCTATAACTAATTAAACTACATTTCATTTATTTAAAATGTATTCAAATTATACTTCATATAAAATTATCTCAGTTAAGAGGCTGAATAGATGGCTCAGAAGTTAAGAGCACTTCCTGCTCTTCTTAAACACCAGAATTCGGTATCCAGCACCCCAGAGAACCTGACACACTCACTCCATAGACACCTGTACACATATGGTTTACACACACACACACACACACACACACACACACACACACACACACACTTCAAAAATCTAGTTAAAATCCATGGGAAGCATAATGCCATCTCTATTTTTAACTGGAGTGGGCGAATTTTCACCTGAGTTATAGTTTCGTTGATTCCTATTGTGTATATAGAATTGTGTGTTTTTAGTGTGTAAAGGGTGTGATGATGAACAGACTCCAGATAAAGTTACTTTAAGCTTATCTATTAATTTTTACTTTCCAGCCTAATTTAGAAATGTTAAGTCTTGCATCTTAAAACTTTCTTTAATGTTCTTCAAGCTGACCCATCTTTCTGTTGGATTAAATATCAGAGCATTTTCTTGGAATGATCTAATGTAGACTTTTCTCTTGGAGGGGAAGGGAGTTTATGGTAGTTTCTAGAAGACATTGAGTGTAGCCATGAAGTTCTAGATTTCCAGTACAAGAGTTTTGAGAGTAGAGTTTTATTATGTAGTGCAAACTGGCCTGAAGCTTGCTATGTAACTCAAGATATTCTTGAACTGGAATTCTTTCCTCAGCCTGAGTTCCTTCCTTCCTTCCTTCCTTCCTTCCTTCCTTCCTTCCTTCCTTCCTTCCTTCCTCTCTCTCTCTCTCTCTCTCTCTCTATCTCTCTCTCTCATCTCTACCTTGTCTCAACGTCCTCCCAAGTGCTGTGTTCCAGGCACAGCAAGTATCACATCAGTTTCCAGCTGAGTTATTTTTTGCATGTGTATATGTAATGTGTGTGTATGTGTGTGTGTATGTATATTGCACATGAAGATCAACATTGGGTGTCTTCCTCAATCATTGTCCACCTTATTTATTGAGAACGTGAATATCAGCTAGCCAATCAGCTAGCCTAGCTAGCCAGCTTGCCCCAGGGAGCCCTTGTCTCTGCTTCCTGAGTTCTGAGATTATAGGTGGCCACCAAGCCTACCTAGCTTTTTCATGGATTATGGGATTACAAGCTTCATTCATTAAACTTGACAAGCAAGTGCTTTCTCCACTGAGTCATCTCAGCCTAAAAGTTTCTTTCTTTTCATTTTCCTCCAGTGCCAGGTGTTGAAACTGTGGCCCCATGTTTATCAGGCATGTGCTCCATCACTGATCTGTAGACCCTGCTCTTTCAGTTGCTCTTTCTTTTAAAAACTATTTATGTATGAGTAGGAGAGACATGCATTCTAGAGGTCAGAGGACAACTTGTGGACATTGAATCTCTCTTTCCTGCATGTGGGTTCAGAGGATTGAATTCAGATCAGTGGGCTTGCCAACAAGTGCCTTTACCTACTGAACCATTTCCTGGCCCCAGCTGAACTCTTCTTTCATTTTAAAACAATTCAATTGTATGTGCCTACCACATTTTTTCTGTAGGTCTTTCTGTTGATTGGCATCTTGGTGACTCCGTTCCTTAGCTAGTGTGACTAGCAGTGAATATAGATGTGGAAGCATTTCTGTGGTGTTGTAACTTAGATTCTTTCACGCATATTCCCAGGAGGAGAGCTGAGTCATATGGGAGTTCTATTTAGAAATTTAAAAACCTCTGGTGCTGGCTTTCTGTGCGGCTGCACCCGTTTACACTCCCAGTGGCAGTGAAGCCTGCTTGTTCTCTCCCCACACACATGTTAGCATTTGCTGTCACTTGTTATCTTCAGAATAGCCAGTATGACTAGAATGAGAATCTGTTAATTTTCCTGATGGCTAAAGATGTTGAAAACTACTTTAAGTATTTGTTATTTGTATTTCTTCTTAAAATAGTTTTATTTATTGAGAATTTCACACATGTATACAACGTATTTTAAGCATATCCACCCCCATGCTCCATCCCCCTTTCAGTTCCCTCCAGACTCCCTCAACAGAGCCCTCTTCCAAATTTCATGTTTTCTCTTTGCTTTAAAAAGAATCCACAAAGTCTGATTAGTGCTGCTTATGTGTGCATGGGTATGGGCCCATCCATTAGTGTGTGGGCAACCCAGCAGTGGCTATATCCCCAAAGAAAAGTGCCTTCTCCTGCAGTCATAAACTTCTAATAGCTCCTCTGCTAGGTGTGTGGCCTCATGAGCCCCTCTTCCATTAGTGCTGGAATTTTGATTGGCTCTATCCTGTGTGGGATTTGTGTAGATAGCCATAACTGCAGTGAGTATATGAGTCAAACAGCTATGTCATATCAAGAAGGAAGCATTTCACAACACTCCTTCCCATCTTCTAGCACTTACATTCTTTCCAAACTCTCTTCCGCAGTGTTGCTTGAGCCCTGGGTGAAGGTGAAGGTAGAGGTTGATATAGTTGCCCCATTTAGGACTGCACACTCAGCAGTCACCGATTCTCAGCATTTTCGCAAGTTATGTGTTAACCGCAGCCCCCTGCACACACAGCTTCTCTGTTTGTGTTCAGTCGTACTACACGGGCATACATATAAATGTTTAGATGGTACTGGTTAACATGACCATTTAGCAAAACATTAATAGGTTTTCCACTGGACCTATGACCTCTCAAGCCATGGTACCAACCATGAATTTTCTATGGGGCAGACTTTAAACCCAATAAGAAAGGGGTTGTCTCCCCCCATAACTGTCATGCTACTGTTGTCCCAGTGGGCCCATCTCATCTGGCATGTCATTGTTGTGGCATGCAGGATCCAGCACTGGCTAAAACCATTGGTATCTTTTCTCTCTTAGGGCTCTGCATAGCGTTTGCCAGCACTGTGAAAGCAGCTGAATCTTATCACTGTTGGAGCAGCTTAATGAGTCTGTGCTTGAACTGTCCATCACCTGTTAGGTCTAGTTAGGAAAGCTAATAAATTTCCTTCTTTTGTTTGTGCTAATTAGTGTTTCCCATTACGACCCACATAGAATATCTGGTTGATAGATTTAATTCAATCAGCTTTTCTAGACATGTCTGCATCATAGCACTATTTAAGGGTGTGCAAGCATATAGTCACCTTTCAGGT